AGAGTTCCAGTCCTTCCCCTGTCCTCCTCCCCAACTCTTGACTCATTACTACTTGCTCTTTTAGTAGCTACCCATGGCCAGGGAGTTCTCCATTGCTAAATTTTTGTATTTAATTATTTTAATGAACCCAGTTACCAAGGTTAGGTCCTTTTCAGGGCCACCATGAGCAAAACTCCAAAACAGGACACTTAACACACTACAATATAGGTTGCTGCTAGAACCAATCATGTACTCGGATGAAAAGTTGACAACATAATTAGCACAAAGCAAAAACAGCACATTACTGTATACTTTCATTTTACCTAGTGTTATTAGTGGTTCTATTAAAAAGAAAAGAAAGGTTATAATATTTGTTCTCATGGTAACTCTCTCTAAATATATAAAGAAAGGCAATTATTAGTCATTTTTATTCATTTAATATTCAGTGTGTTCTCTTGCCAAAACACAAAGGCCAGAAAAGGAATTAACCTTTACTCTCAGTTTGATAGGAATGAAACTAAAATAAGAACCACCTGGCATTAATATTGTTAAATTGAAGCTGCTGAAAAGACAGATGAAGGCTTTAAAATAACCCTAGATGGTTACCGGTATATCCCACTCAAAACAGAAGTGCCAGCCTATTTAGTTCAAAGATCGTTAGTTCCCTTATTTGACAATTTGGGATTTTACATCTCATAATGTGAGAAATGCACTGTGTTATCTAACAGAGTGTATGACCCTGGGCTAATTAAAAGGTGCACATGAGCAGGGCAGGGTGAAACAAGGCTGCTTCATTACAAGTGGTGGTTGTTCCCTGCAGGCAGAAACATCAAAAGATTCCTGGAAGTGGTCCAAAGCATCAGTCAAAGGCAACATGCTTCCCGGACAGCAAGGCCACTGAGTGGGTTTGCTGCACTGGGAACTGTTTAATCTGAGCGTGCCTTTTAATTTGTTTGTCAGATTGGTGAAATACGAGACCTCAGAGGAAATTGGACATGCAGACAGGAACTGAATGTGACCTTTGCAGCTGACAGACCAAACTTGCTTTGAGTGGATGGGGGTCAGTACCAGTATGCTCTGTCACCTTTTTAAGTGGAGAGTGACAGGTCAACAAAAAAGAGAAACAGGGGAGCATTGAGGCTCCTCTAATGTTGTGATTCTATGTCATGGCCCTCTCACTTCCTGGGCTAGTACTGTATTTCTGCTCTTATGTTATATTCTAACTGGAAGCCACACGTTCAAGAAGCGAGATCATGCATTTGACAATGTTGGGACTATAAAGAGTAAGACAGGCAGCCTGAAAATTCGTGATAATTCTAATTCTAGGACTGTCTCCAACAGAAGTAATCTACCTATGCACAAGGATACACACTTCAGAATTGTTTGAAAAGGTAACCATTGTAACTTAAAAAATTTCTCAATAGGAGGAAGGTTACTTATATAATATCTATATAATATATATAATAAGTATTAATTTTATATATCACATATAATATACTATATATCTTATATTTATAATGATACACAGTAATATAATTTCTAATATATAGTAGGGTAATTTATAAATTCTGATTCTCTTTATAGTATGTGTAATATGTTATAAATATACATACAATGTATTTTGTCATATAAATTACAAACACGCATGAGATATTCTACAACATATACTGATATACTGAAAAAGGAGAAAAATGTGATTGTGAAAGCTTGTATATTTGTGCATGTAGCCATATTATAATGATCTATAGAGTACATAAGCATGGAAATGGAGTCATGAAGGCAGAGATGTGGATGTTTAATATGCATTTTAATTTAGATTTTCAAAAGATAGATTAAATTTATACATTTAGATCAAGGTACAAAAGGAAACAAAACAAAACTCAAAACAAAACTGTGGCTTTGCTTTCTCTGGAGAGCAAATCCTTAAAGGTCCTGATTTTTCCTTGAATTTTCACAGTAAGATCTAATTCTCCTCTCTTGTTCAGCCATTTCATTTTATTCTTTTGTTCAATGGAGCAATCTCCAGAGCTTTCTTAGAATTATAGTTTTTCACCAAGAAGTATAGTTAAATGGTTAAAATTAAAAGTTGGCTTAAGTGTATAGTTCCTAATAAAAACCTGCACATTTTCCTTATAAATATGCACAAACATTCCATTCTCTTCATGTTGGCCAAAGACTGTGTTTTGAGCAGTGGGGATCCGTGTTGTCTTTCTTGTGCACTCAGATAACTTTTTAGCGACCAATTTCATTTTTCCAAAGTGGAGACAGAATTTTGGAGTTTTAAAAATAATTTGGTAATAATTATAATAATTATAATCCTTCAAGATTTTTATAACCCTTTCCCTCAATCACATCTTATATTTGTCTAACACTATTTTGGCAGTAATTATACTGACTTACTCTTATTAGTTTCAAAGCACTCAACTATTTTTAAATAGAAACTATTTTTTTAATATTTTTTGATGATAACTTACTATTTAATTAAATCACATAACTGGAAACAGCAGTAAAACCGACTTGAACAGGTATGGGAACAGAAACTACTTTTCTCATGGTACATGTACAACTTATCATGGGAAAAAGTGTGCAGTTCACTAGAGAATAGCTACAAGCCTGGGGAGTTAAGAGGCTTTATACATCGGACAGGATATGTTATAGAACAGTGGTTCTCAAATGGGGCTGGTTTTTCTTCTTAAAAGACATTGGGCAAAGATGGGAGACATTTTTGGTTGTCACAACTGTGTAGGAGAAAGGGTGCTATTGGCATCTGTTGAATAGATGCCAGGGATCCTCTAAACATACTACAGTACACAGGACAGCCCCCACAACAGAACATTATTTTTCAACAGTGCTGCTGTTGAGTTATACTATTACAGTGGGAATGGAAAGCTATTAAATTGTGAGTCACTCAAGAGGGAAAGATGTTGAAAATGTTATCATTTAATAAGCTAGGGTTTGTTTGTTTGCTTCCAGAAAGGAGTGGAGAAATAATATTCCTTTCAACATTTCATACTCCATAGAAAAGCCATTATTAGGTTGGATATAGGAAGTGCTCAATAAGTTCTTGCTCAATGATACAGATACAGGTTGCAAAAAATTTGAAACAACTCAAAAAGGGGAGGTACAGATAAATATAATGAGAATAAAGATGAAATCTATGAAATTCTTCAAGAAGAAAGTGGTATAAGTCCAGAATATGTTTCAAAAAAGTATCTTGTAATCATTTGTGAACAAAAAGACTTTTCTATTACAAACTCTTTAAAACAAGCTGAAAATATAATTGTAAATATTTTTTTTTCAATAAAAAGAAAGCAAATTTTGAATAAGTCATTTTAGAAGTTTACAAGTATGAGAGCACAGGCACAATATAATTACTTGTGATAACCTGAATTTCTGCTAATTTTAGCCCTGCTTACACATGAATGCAAGCTATGTAAGCAGGTTGAATTCTTTTAAAATAAAGATTAATTATATTGAAAATAGTTTTATACATATAGAGATGAACAAAATATGACATTTCTTTTAAAAGTATTTTATATAATATTCCATGTCTCTACCTGGTAGATGTTTTTCTGTTACTAGGTTTAGAAATCTATTTTTTAAATTATACTAATTTATGTTTTTAAAAATTATTGTTTACTTATAGATATTATTATAAAATAGTTACAGAATATTGGTTCATAAAGGAAAATGTTATCCCCTCAATATTTGTATGCTGTTTGCTAATATTTATACCTAATCTGGAAAGTTGACATATCAGGAGAATTTATACAATAAGTATAAGTAATTCATTCATTGTTTGCAAAGGAATTGGTACAGCAACTAAGATACTCACCATATTGGAAGAGGGATTAAACAATCATGGCAAAAGTGTACTTCATATTTGCTTTAGTAATACTGTCTATGTGATACTGAAGGAGTTTCATTTCCTTCAGTTAAATTATACTGTGTTTTGAATGAGAGTGATCTGGGCAAGTTCTTATCTTATGCAAGCATATAAGCTAAGCCAGCATGATGGGGAGTACTAGATAGAAGTAAAAATTAATATTAGGAGAGATTTGAGTAATTAAATTTTGACACCTAATATTGGCTTTGTGTCTAGCCTTTTACATGTAATATATGCATTTTGTACTAGCAGAGTCTAGAATTCATCTTGGAAAGGTCAAAACCCAGTAAGATTTAGGAGCTCTCTGGTCACCCCAATGTTTAATATCATCATGTTTCTTTTTATTTTCTTTCTTTCTTTTTTGATTATTATCCATAAATGACACTTCAGAATGTCCTGTTTCCTTAAAAATGGTATTTTTTATTTTCTGCTGATTTTGACATTACCCATCTCCAGCCCCATCTTCATCCTGGTTTCCCACTCTTCCCCAAGAACCAAGTACTAAATCCTGGGGAGTTGCTCATTTGCATATGTTTTAGGATCTTTTTATAGGGAGGTCATTGGTGTAGTAGAGCACCGAAGTATCACAGTCTGATGTCAGTGGGCCTGAAATATAGATATGTAAGGTTCTCTGAGAAAATCACTAAGTTCTGAGAAGTACTCATATCCTTACATGTCATTTTAGTTGTAATATTTACATAGTTGCAAAATGTCACATTTACTTTTAAATTTCTGCTTTCTAATACTTATTACAACATGACAGTATTTCCTGTTATTTTTCCTTTCAAAGAATGGAATTGAGATTTTTAAGGTGAAGGAGGTAAACTAGACACTGAACTGGCAAATAAAGGGGTGAGAAGACAAGAAAAATAAATCTTGGCATAGGCAACACAGTGATTTGAAAAAGTGCAAAAATAAATGAAAAACCATTGTGTGTAGGCAATTGAAGTAAGCATAACCACTAGAGCCACAAAAATTATAAGGACCTTAAACCATAATTACCTAACCTACTAAGAAGAAAGTGTCTTGTTAAAGTAATATTGCACAAAGGATGCTGTGAATAGGGATGTATAGAAAGAAAAAGAAATGGAGAGAGGACAGTATTAGCTGACTTTAATAAGCTCCCACTTAGGGGGAGGGTATAGCTCAGTGGTTTAGCATGTGCCTATCATACACAAGGTCCTGGGTTCAATCCCCAGTACCTCCATTTAAAAAAATAAATAAAAAACCTAACTACCTCCCTACCAAAAAATAACATAAAATAAGCTCCCACTTTTTTTCTGGAGGTTTTCAGTGGGTATATGCTAAAAACAAGCACTGTGTTCAAAATGCTCTGAGTTATTTTGAATCACTGTTCTAAACATAATGTGAGTCCCCTGGTGAACTATGCTGGCTACAGGATATTCTTCCCCAATCTTGGGAAAGGCCTAAGGCGCGTTCCAAACCAGGCTGCAAGGCTTTCTTCTTTCCTTTCTTTCTAAGTTAAAGTCAGGTTTTTACATTTTGTCACTCTATGTATGAACAATGGCCTGACATGGCAAGAAAATCCACATGTTATAAAAAAGACCGTGGGAAATAAAAATTAAAAAAACTGAGCAAGAGAAAAAGTCTAATCCATGTAAGAAAGAAAAGTCCTCAGCATGTATTATCTTTTCTCTTTTGGTGTGATGAAGAGAAGAAAATGGCCCTGAAGTGGAATAGAGCATAGTATATCTGAATAACTAAATGAAATATAATACAGCTAGAACATGGAGAAATGAACAGAGAGAATCTTTCCAGCAAAAAGTTCCCCATGGCTTGGAATAAGGTAATGGTAGTAGAAGTTGGGAAGAGTGAAAAAATTCAAGAGATATTTAAGTTATAATCAGATAACTGCGCTTGATCTGATGTTGAAAGATAGAGGAGTGTTGGCTGGTTTTCTGACTTGGAAACTTGATGGATAGTGCTGCCAGCACTGAGATTGAAAGGTATACTTTTTATACTTGGATTGGTGGTATCATGAATGAATGAAGTCTCAGGCATTTTGAAGTTTTGGGTAACTCTAAAAAAGTAGTGTGAAGAAATTACTTGGGCCTTATACTGAAAAAAAAAAAGCATTAGATTGAAATGTAAATTTGAGGATTGTCAGAAAATAGATAATAATTACTTCACAGGGGTAAGTTAACTTGTTTTTTATAGTGCTGAAGAGCCAATTGAAAATTCTAAAAAATCTGAAAAGAGGGAAGAATCTGAAGCTAGATATATAAATGGTTAGAGAAACTTAACTATAATAGAAAAACACAAAAAGGGTTTCTTTTATGAATTCTCTAGACTTACTTTGTCTTATTTGTTCATTTATTTACTTTATTTTTGAGCTGTTAGTCATGAAAACTACCTAAAAAATTTGGAGTTTGAAGTTTATTACCAAAAATGAGCATTTCTTTTATTACCACTGAGTCTTCCTTCATTGTCTATTTATAATATCCCATTATTTACTTATTGTAATTTATTTGTGTTGTTTTATGTTATTAATGTGAATAAGAGTAGACTCAAAATTGGTATATAAGTAGTCCGAGTTTTTCTTCCTCTAACTCTAATGAAATAACGTTTCTTTGCTTTCACACGTTTTTCTAGTTCTATCAAACAGTAGCAGTTAACAGAGCACCTCCTAGAACACTGCAATGTCACATCAGAAAATAGACAGACGCCCCCAAAGAAGAAATTGTTTAGGGAGAGAAACCACATCTGTTCACTTAACAGGCAGGTTGGAGGGGAGAGAGTGGGCTAGGTAGGAGAGACAGGCAGTTTTACGTGTTTTTGGTCAATATAACTTGCTGTGTAGAAATGAGAGGACTGTAAAGAAAGAAAGAAAAATATTGTGTTAAGTTTTAAACTAGACACATCTATTTTTCATTAATTCATTAATTCTGTGAATTCCTTAATCTTTATTTTGGCCCTTGGTTTAGATATAGCTCAGTGAAGAGACTGATTATGCCTAATGAGGGTTCATAAAGAGGACATAAAAAAGCAGAGCAGATCTCTAATTTTGGCAAAAGGAAACCCTACCCTCAGTCCACTGACATCATGTGAATGTTCAGGGGCCTAATCTACAAATGGTGCACAGATTGTTGGATAACGTTATGTAGAAAAGTGGACATATTTTACCTATAACCATCAGTTACACCATAACTTAACGCTGTTATTGGTGATGTAGGCCATTTTTTAAGCTACTAAAATTGTACCAGTGTGTACTACTGAATAAAATGTTTATATGATACCACATATATAATTACGGGCACGTTGAGTGTTTTTTTTTTTGCTTCTTTCATTACATTATGAGACAGATAGCTTATTTAATCTGAAAAGTTACAGGATTGTAGTAGTGATATCTGTCGGACCTGGGAAATTATGTAATGAGTTACATCATCATAATAGATATCACTTCTGTGAGGTTCTGTTTTGTGTGATCATGCTGGTGCATAGATTGATACAGGGTTTTTCTTATTCATAAATATCTGATACTACTATCATATAAGTAAAAAATACTTCAAATATCAGCCACCTTCTGATATTATTTATGAATTCATAAATATCTGATACTACTTTAATAATGATTTTTAAGAGATACATCAAATACCAGTCACCTTCAGACTCAATAGATTTAAAATTATTGTATAAATTAATACATATGAACATAAATATATGAAAATATGCAGAGTATACCTTAATGCATGCACACATTGTTATAGATATCTATATACCTATATACATATGTATACATATATAAAGAACAATGTTTGTATTTTAATCCACTGAATCAAAGTTTCTTAAAGAGTCAAATTTTGCATTAGGGTCAAAATCTGCACTTTAAACCACTGTTATTATGGATCAAAATCTTGCTAAATGAAATATTTTATTTCAATAAGAACTATAATATGTATATATATAATTTATATTTGAAGCTATTACTCATCACTTTAGGATTTATTTTTAATTTACTTTTTAAAAACAAGCCACATTTGTTTTTTGTTTGCTTTTTTCCCTAAGACATAATGGTAATGAAATTGACATTTTAAAAAGATGCATGTTTAAAACAGATATAAGGTTATATATAATCAGAGTTTCCTGGACTACATTCTGTGACACAGTGCCATTTTCTGATTGATTGACTGAGAGATTGTTTAAAACAGGGATAGCTGAAAATATTTTTAAAAGAGAAATCCTTCATTGTATTGAAACTCAGAAATATGTATTTCCAGCAGTGTCATATGTGTCTTTTAGCTCTCACTTCCACTGGCATGTTTGCTACCACTTTCTAAGCAGCACATGGAGAAGTGTGAGTATACATAAAGGAAATTTAAGATTTGTCTGAAGCGTACTAAAAAAAACACTTAATGTGGTAATTGTTTAACTATCTATGTTACCAGAAAACCACAGACAATAAAAATAATATAATAAAAAAGTCAGTAATAGTTGTAATAATTGAAGTGCAGATGAAAGTTTGAAAAGGGTAAGTGAGCTTGAAATGAGTTACATGAACCTTCTGATGCAAAAATAAATAAATACAAATAAATAAATTAATTAAGAGCTTAGCATAGTTTGTGACCAGCTCATAGCAGGCAATTAAAATTTTTTGATACATAGTCATTCAACACAATTTCGTTTGTAGAGACACCTAAATCTCCCAAAAAAGCAAGAAAATAAAGTACAAGCAGCCAAGTCTGAGTCCTCATGTTACAGAAGATTCACTGAGGATAATATTTCACATTATTGATAAAAAATAAAAGATAATTATTTAGGAAACTATCTCATTTAGGGGCAGTGAGAATAAAGTTACTGTGATTACAATCAACACAGTATCTAAAATACTTCATTACAATCCAATTTGAGTAAGATAAGGAGTGAGACAAACTTCCAGGATGCAATTTATTTTTAAGAAAAAAAAAAGTGTGAAAAAATTTGTGAGGCCATTCTACAGCTGAAGAGGAATATTTCTGACAGCGTTGAAATCACTAAAAGTCTGATCCTTCCAAAATTTTTAAACTGCTTCCTGCAACCAAGAATGGCCTGGCCCTAACAAACTCTTAAAGTATGTTTACTAACAATGATTTCAAATAATATTGCTACTGATTTTATAAGTATTACAATTATTAAATAAAATTATTTCACACATTGCTTTAGAAAATGGTAATACCTTAACACACATTAACTTTGAATTAGAAAATCAGTTTGTTGGCTTGTTGGATGGATGCATCAAAAAGAACATTTGCGATTTAAATAGTGACAAGCCATTGCCACACAGATCCAGGAGCTAAGCATCCAATGAACAATTCATATGCTTTGGCATTGTGCCACTATGTAATAATGACATGTCACTGCTAAGTCAGGAACTGCTTTACATTTCCTTCCCTTCTTTGAAGCCTAGGATGTCTTCATTTATAGGTAATCTCACTGATGATAGAACAATCCTGTATATTCAAGTTTCTTATCTGTCCAGTGCTTTGCAGTACAATAAACACTTCATGCAATATTTAATAGAATAAATAATCATTCTCATAATTCAGTTAGAAGACTATTATCTGTTAACTTGTTTCCTTTCCTCTGTTTTGCACATTTTCTTCATAGCTAGTTCCACAGATACCTACTACCTGAATATTGAGTTCTTCATTTTAGAATAAAATTTGGTAAGGTAGAGAGATAGCTTAACAATAGTCTGACAAAGTAGCCTATGTACTGGAACTGATTAAAGTGTTGTACTCTAGTAATTCCTAAGTTGTTTTTAAGAAAAAGAAATTATATCGTTTCCAACTCAGAAAATCAAAGACCTTGTAATTTTTTAAATGGAGACTCTTTCACTTCTTATCCTCTACAAAGGATATTGTAGGTTTTTAATTCAATTATGTATTGGAAATTCTGTCTTACTATTTATATTATCTATTATTCTCTTAAAACACATTACATTCTATATATTCCAGTTCAGGCAATTAAAATCCTGTTCAGTCCTTGATATCTGGTCCTTTTGTGAAAATTTTCTTATAATCCAAGACTTCCATTAGAACTGTTGCTCTATGTAACCATTTCCAGTAGAATATAAAGGATACTGAAGTGATACTCCATACCACTGATGCTTAGAGCTTGTCTATATATATCCCTAATATTTTTGTGATTGTTTCAATTCTATTATCATGATGTTGAAATGACATCTTTAATCAATAATTGATCAAGATT